TGAAGCCAGCGCTGAAAGTTAAGCACCGGTGACAGCCGGGCGCGTCGATCTTTGAGCGCAGCATTCAGCACAGCTGAAAAGAAGTTCAAGTTCAAGTGAAACTGGAAGGATAGGGTGAATCCCGTAAGTGTTCCTACTTGAGCGGGTCGTCGATCCAGGAGTTGATAGGGGTGCTCCGACTTCTTGATGGGTCTAAAACGAAAACACCCGAAAAACACCCTGGTCCACCAATTTAATGCCCACGTTCCTTACATTAGCTGTCCCAGCTATGTCAGTTACGTGAAGTAAGTAAGAGAGGAAGAAGAATCGAAGGTAAGAGAGTAGGGGAAATCAGTTAAAAGAAGAGAATAATACCAGTGGCGAGGAAAAGTAAAGAAAATAGAATCGAAGTATGAAGATGGGAATTAGTCAGGAAAACGGAAAGGTTTCGTGTTGCCACCCAAGAGCATCTAGTTGACGCTCAAACCTCTTAACCGTAGAACCCTTGACAACATTTTCTGGAAGCCGGTTCCAGCGCTCGATGACTCGACGCGATAAGCGTGTCTCCGCTCTAACTCGATCGGACCGCGGTTTGTCCAGCTTCGTACAATGCCCGCGGAGACCAGATAATCTAGCAGGACTAAATAGCATGGACAAATCAGGGCCAACCTTCCCAGTCAAAATACGGTAGGTTAGGATTAGGTCCCCTCTAATTCTTCGATAGTGCATTGACTGCATCCCCAAACTAAGTAGGCGTTCGGGGTACGTTTGCCCTCGTAATCCCTTGACCAACCTAGTACCGACACGCAACACCCTTTCTAGTGCCATTTTGTCCCGGACAAAGCATGGTGGACAGGCCTGGACGCAATATTCTAGGTGGGGTCGCACAAACGCTGAGAAGAGCTTCACAAACACACCAGCGGTTAGGGTCCCAAAAGAACGACGGATAAACCACAACATCCGGAACCCTTTACTAGCCGCCTTCTTCCAGTTGTCTCCAGAGTGTAATGTGGAACAGTGGACGACACCTAGATCAACCTGATGAGTCACGTGAGAAAGTACAGTCCCATCGAGCACATAACTTGTGGAGGAATCAGACGCTCCGATACGCAGCACTGAACATTTTGCCCGGTTTATAGGCAGCAACCACAAGACAGACCATTCCCAGAGTCTATCCAGAGCCCGTTGAAGAGCCATAGGACCTCCAGGGATATCAACAATATTCCAGAGCTTTAGGTCATCTGCAAATAAAAGCGACTGTACCTCAAGCTCCTCCGGCAAGTCATTCACGTAGACTGAGAACAGCAGCGGACCTAGGACAGAGCCTTGCGGAACGCCGCTAAGTACAGCCTGTCGAAACGAAAGACTGCTTCCCACACGAATACACTGTTCCCGTCCAGCCAGAAAAGCTGACACCCACTGGACAGCGCGACCAGCTATTCCATACGACCTCAACTTCGGTGAGAGTCGCGAATGGGGGACAGTGTCAAAGGCCTTGGCGAAGTCAATGAACACCACATCCACCGCATGTCCACTGTCTACGGCTTCAGCCCAGCACTCACGAGCTACCAGCAAGTTCGTCTGACACGAAAATCCTTTGCGAAAACCATGTTGCTCGATGCTAAGCAGGTTAAACCTATTTAAATGGTTCTCCACTGTATCTCGTACTAATTTTTCAAGTAACTTAACGACCACGCTAGTCAAGCTGACAGGCCTGTAATTAGCCGGTAGGTCTTTGTCACCGCACTTGAAAATCGGGCAGACAACAGCCTGCTTCCATTCGGTAGGCAAGATACAGCTGTTGAGTGACTTCTGAAACACACAAGTCAGAGGTCCACTGAGTTCCACTGCCAATTCGTGCAACAATTTTGGATGAACAGAATCTGGCCCGGAAGCCTTAGTTGGGTTTACCTCTCTTGGCAACCGGAGAAGTTGGGACTCATTTACAGGAATTTCAATGTGCGTAAATGTGCGTAACGAAGCTTCTTCCGCCTGGTTTTCCAGGTGTTACTGTCAGGAAGCTGATTATACTGGAGAACGTCCCAGTTAATGTACCAAACAATCGACCGCGGCTACTTCCTGTGGTACTCTCTACCCCGGAGGAACGCAATGCTCTCATGCGGTTTGCGTTTAAGCTGAAATGTACAAATATTAGCGTTCAGCCGGACGTTCCGCTAGCCGATAGGCTGAAGCTAAGGGAGGCCATCAAGGACCTCAAAAGCAGGCGAGCGGCCGGTGAACAAGATCTCCGGTTAGTGGGTTCTCGAGTGGTCAGCCGGCGGTCCTTTCCCGCCCTACCACTGCCCATTCTGGTAGCGCACGACCCAGGTCTGGATCTAACGAAAAACTTCATGTTGTTTTAACTAATGTGCGCAGCCTAAGGAATAAGGTGTACGAGTTAGGTCTGCTTGTAGATGGGTCTCATCCCGATATACTCGCATTCACTGAAACATGGCTGTCTCAGGACATCACGGATTGTGAAGTACATCTATCTGGCTACGTACTATTTAGATGCGATCGCTCTGCTGGCCGACAGGGAGGGGGCGTCGCTCTTTATGTGAGCTGTAAACTTGACGTTTTGAAGACTTGCTTATTTCAGTCGGCAGACAAAACTGTTGAAGCTCTATCGGCTGTTATTAGCACCTCCTCGGCTCAGGTTACAGTTGTAATTGTGTATAGAAGCCCTGGGAGCGTATCCAAAGACGTACTTGAATTCATTCGCTCCCAGTCCGCAAACAAGTGTTTGGTGATGGGCGACTTCAACCTCCCAGAGTTTTGCTGGGCAGATCTTCTTGCGACTCAGCGTCAGGCACATTCGGCGCTGATCTGCTTAAACTTACGCTCCAAGTATCTTTGCACCAGTTCATTGACCTCCCCACTAGGTACATGGACGCCCAAGTGCCGTCTATTTTGGACCTTGTATTCGCTAAGTCACTCGATTTTTTGATGACATTACGGATCCCCACTGGGTTCCAGTGATCATGTTTGTTTGCTCTTCAATTGTACTATGTCTAGACGCTACCAGAGTACTGTTGAGCCTCGCCCGAACATATGGCAAGCAGACTATCAATCAATGAGAGCCAAGGCTTCTGGTTTCCATTGTGAGATCTCAGGCGACGATACTGTCCAGGTTGCCTGGGATAAATTTAAGTCCTACCTCACAGAGGTCTCTGCTCCCTTCATACCAGTCACAAGGAGAAAGGAGGCCCGAGCACAGCCGCCCTGGATAGATCCCACTGGCAGGCATCTGCTCACAAAGAGGTCTAGATGTTGGCGGACTTACCGAGACGCTCCGTCCACCGATACTTATGACAGGTACCGTAAAGCTAGAACTAGGTGTAAGCAACACCTAAGGGATGCTCGGTTCAATTTTAAAAAAGGGTTAGCGGACGATGCTTCAGAGAATCCAAAAAGATTCTTCGCTTATGTCAAAAGGTTAGAACATGTCAATTCCAGTGTTGATGCGTGATGACGGTACTCATGCGCATACGGATTATGACAAGGCCTGCGTACTCAGTGGGCAATATGCGGCAGTGTTTGTAAGGGAAACCTCTTTGACAGGCGTTGAGCTGGTTTGCAGGACCCCAGAGGGTTCAGGACTATCTGAATTTATTGTAGCGGAGACTGCAGTTCGTAGGCTGTTACAAGGGCTGAACCCTTCTAAGGCCTCTGGGCCTGATTTAATTCACCCGAAACTGTTGCATGAGTTGGCTGCGGAACTAAGTGGACCGCTCGCTATTGTGTTTCAGAAATCGCTTGACAGTTGTGCATTGCCTTCCGAATGGAAGGAAGCTGTCATCTGTCCCATCTTTAAACATGGGGACAGGGGTCTGCCTGCAAATTACAGGCCAGTTAGTCTGACGAGTGTAGTAGTCAAACTCCTCGAGAAACTGGTGAGAGATTCATTGGAGAGTCATCTGAGTAGATTTAATCTACTTAGCAATGTACAACACGGATTCCGGAAGGGATTTTCGTGTCTGACGAATCTGTTGGTAGCTCGCGAAAATTGGGCGGATGCAGTGGACAACGGCCACACACTGGACGTGCTTTTCGTCGACTTTTCGAAGGCATTTGACAAGGTACCCCATTTGAGGCTCGCGCAAAAGCTGTCCTCCTACGGGGTATCTGGCCGCGCCCTTCATTGGGTGACTGCCTTCTTGGAGGGTAGAGAATAGTGTGTACGGGTAGGCCGGGGTCTATCATTTAGGCAATCTGTCCTCAGCGGCGTGCCTGCAGGGCTCGGTCCTTGGACCGCTGTTGTTCTCTATCTATGTGAATGACCTTCCCACGGAGCTTGAGGTACCATCGCTGCTATTTGCTGATGACCTGAAGCTGTGGAACATTGTTGATGTTCCTGGGGGTTCCGAAGCTATTCAGCGAGCATTGGATAAGCTTTGGGACTGGTCTACTTTATGGTTACTGCCCATAAATCAGGCAAAGTGCTCCGTTCTTCGAATTGGAGGAGGTTGTCCTCCTGCGAAGTACTTGGTCGGTGGGGTCGAACTCCCCCGTGTATCTAGCCAGGTTGACCTAGGCGTCGTACACTCTTCGGCTTTACACTCCGGCGACAACTGGAAGAAGGCCGCAAGCAGAGGTTTCCGCATGTTGTGGTTAATCCGACGTTCTTTCGGAGTCTTGACGGGCGGCATCTTTACGAGGCTGTTCTCGGCTTTCGTTCGGCCCTCATCTGGAATACTGCGTCCAGGCTTGTCCGCCCTGCCTCGTCCGGGACAAAATGGAGCTGGAGAGGGTTTTACGAGTGTGTACTAGGTTAGTCGAGGGATTTCGGGCACGGACGTACCCCGAGCGTCTACTTAGTTTGGGAATGCATTCAATGCACTACCGAAGGCTTAGAGGAGACCTAATCCTAACCTACCGTATCTTGACTGGGAAGGTTGGTCCAGATTTATCTTGGCTATTCAGTCCCGCTAGATTGTCTGTTCTACGCGGTCATTCGTTGAAGCTGGACAAACCGCGGTCCGATCGGATTAGGGCGGAAATCCGGCTGTCACGCAGAGTCATCGACCGCTGGAACATGCTTCCGGAAAGTGTTATCAGGGAATCTACGGTTAAGGGGTTTGAGCGGCAACTTGACGCTCTTGGGTGGCAACACGAAACCTTTCCATTTTCCTGAGTAACTCGCATCTTCGTACTTCGATTTTCTTTTCTCTACTTTTCTTCACGTATTGGTATTATTTTCTTATTTAAGTGCACTTCCCTATTCTGTACCTTCGATTTCTCTTCCTATCCTTTGCTTACTTCACGTGACTGCCAAAGCAGGGACTGCTAGGGCAGGAAACGTGGGCATTAACTGGTTGGCCAGGGTGCGATACGGGTGGTTCCGTTTTAGATCCATCAATAACTGAGCACTTCATTAATTCCTGGCTCAACGATCCACTCAAGATGGAACACTCACGGGATTCTCCTATCGTTCCAGTCCCCATCTGAACTGAACTGAACTGAACTGACAGCCAACTGGCCTGTAACTTCAATTTTAAGTGGGACCGGAACAGTAGGAAAATCCCGCGAACCTTCCACCTTCGAAAACGTCGTTGATCCAACAGGGAAACCGGTGCCTTGATGTGCCAAATTATAGCCAAATCAACACACACGATGCACATGTTCAACTGAACAATGTCCACGTGCCCTGCAGTAGCAGTACCCGCTGTGCCGGCTAAGGGAATAATAAAAGAAAACAGTAGTGTCAGTAAAGTAAAGGAAACAGAGAAGAGAAGGTTATCGAATATCGCAGGCAATATTAAGATGTAACTTAAAAGGGGTTAAAGAAGCGTAGGGCGTAGTAGATGAACTAAATTTTAAGACATGAAGTGGAAGGCTTTAAACTGCAGCCTGAGAGCGTCAAGTCGATGTTCGAACTCTTTCACCGTCGGTGCCATCACGACGTTTGCAGGCAATGCGTTCCAATAAGCTATAACCCTACGCGATAACCGAAAAGCTGCCCAAACCCGGTCAGACCGGGTTTTGTGCAACTTTAATGGATGGCCACGAAGGGTTGGCATTCGAGTTGGGCGAAACAGTCCAGTCAAAGCAGGACCAATCTGACCCATCAATATACGATATGTGAGGACCAAGTCGCCCCGAAGCCGCCTGTAATCTATGGAAAACATATCCAACTTACGTAGCCTCTCCGGGTACGTCAGCTTCTTTAATTCGTGCACCATTTTCGTCCCGGACCGCAGGGCCCGTTCAACTGCCATCTTATCACGAACCAGACATGGAGGACAAGCCTGGACGCAGTATTCCAAGTGCGGCCTTACAAAAGCGGAAGACAGTCTAACGAATATGTCGGTGGTCATGATCCCGAATGACCTGCGGATCATCCGCAACATGTTGAAACCTTTGCCAGCAGCTGTCGTCCAGTGTTCACTGGACCTAAAGTCGGATGATAGCAAAACACCGAGGTCATATTGGAGTCGAACTCGCGGTACCTCATTGCCGCCAAGAAAATAACGTGTCGGCGGGTCATTCGGACCAACGCGTAAAACGGAACATTTCGCTAAATTAACGGGCAACTGCCACAAAATGGACCAGTCTCAAAGTCTATCCAGAGCCCTTTGTAGGGTCAGTGGACCAATCGGATCGTCTAACGTGAACCAGAGTTTTAAGTCATCCGCAAACATTCGAGATTTCAAACCCAACTCATCAGGTAGGTCATTAATGTATAAATTGAAGAGAAGGGGGCCAAGAACCGAACCTTGCGGAATGCCACTGAGAACCCATTGGCGGAAGAACAGGCTTGAACCCACCCGCACACACACTTGTAGTGCAACTGAAAACATGCTCTTTCAGTATCTTATAACATTGGATTTTATGGTTGTTTTAACCTTCGAAACGTCCATTTGTTTAACTGACTGCACATCCATGGTCACAAACCGTTTTGGTGAGTTCCACGCTGCACGTTCCTCGCTCTCTCTCTGATTCGCTTTCTATTTTTGTAGCCTGTACAATATACGTTGGGTTCAGTTGCCTCCGACTTCTATACTGTCGTATTTGACACGTCTTACGTGTCATTGCTTACCGACTAGTATCCCAGGCTCCGCCCA